GATTATGCTGTTTCAGTAAGGTAGCAGTTGTAAGTTCTCCTCTAAGATCCAAAACTTCACTAACCTTGAGTAGTTGGCTAGGTTTCTGATATCAGGCCTGACTTCCCTCTTGTTGTGTGGGTCTAAAGATCAATGGGAGAGGTGTTGGTTACTACCAAGGTGTGGATTCCTATACTGTACCATTAGGGTCATTCTGCCATGCTGGACAATGTTGTGATTTACAGAACTGCTGATTGTCTCCTTTGGCAGCTTGCATGGCTTCTCCTTAAACCACAAAAAGCTAGTCTCCAGTGAGGAGGTACTCAGGTTAGTTCAAGCTCAGGAGATTCTGTGTTCTGTGTCTGAAGTATATGATGTCTTCAGCAATGGGTAAAGAGCCTGTAATATATTGTAAATCTCTTGGACAACTTGACAAATGCTTGGTGTGGGAGGTTTTGCTACATTGTCTTTGGCTCCTGGAGGGAGCATTGTCAGTCCAGATGAGTACATTTCATTTATAAAGTATATATCTATGTTTATACATAGACTTATTACATTCATCATTTTTTAAAGTAGGGAATTAATAATATGATACCTATGGATGTTTCAGACATCCTCCCTTCTAAATTTATCTCCCTCCTACTCTCTAATTATAGCTCCTCTGTTTTTCTCACCCCCCCCAGATGTTATCCCTCCTGTCCATTGCTCTTCCCATACAGCAGGCAATGGTCCCACATCAAGAAACTTCTATTCATAACAGGTGGAGACCATTATAGAAAACCACAGTTGTGGAGTCTCAACAATATATATCCAAACCACACCTAAGGCTCAGGGATCATTTCTGAAATAGAGGCAATTCCTCTATTGGGGCCAGAGAAACATTTGCTATGAGATTATGTATCCTAGTAATAACAGAAGCTATACTCATAAAGTATCACCAACATAACTGCCTAAACCTGAGATGAACAAAGATAGCAACAATAGATATGCTGAAATAGATAAGAGAAAGCCCATATAGCCTCAACCCTATACAAAGAACCAAAAGCAACCAAAGAATGCTGAAAGCAGGGAGATAAGTCTTCCCCAGGGAGGAACACACAAATTGGTTATCCAATACCCAAATGGCCCATATGTACAAGTAACATTATATGAACCGAGCCTGCTAAACTTATGCATTTTGGAATATATACTTATGTATATGTATGCATACATATACACATATACACAAACACACATACAAACATGTAATAGTGAAACAGAGGTCATGAATTTGAAAAAAGAGTAAGGAGAGATATTTGGGAGGTTTGGAGAGAATAAAGGGAAAGGAGAAATGATGTAACTATATTATCTAAAAAGAACATTTATTACGAAGTACTTAAAGGTAAAGATGTCTTCCTGGGACACAGAATTTTATTTTCTGATTATGGAACCCAATTTTTAAAATTTAATAACCCAAATGGGATAACCATAGGTCTGATTCCTGTCCCTACCAGAAAAAAAAGGATCATTCTCCATGTTCAAGCAAGCTTCATTCTAGGAAGGCAAGAATAAGCCTATATACACACTAAAAATGTGATACAATGTAATACTCCAGACAGAAATCACATGATCATCAATTTATGGCTCTGATAAATTACAGCATAACCTACATGATAAAAGTATTCAAAAATCTGAAATAGGAGGAAACAACCACAGAATAAAAAGGCAAAATGTGACAAAACTATGGCTTATATTAAACTATGGCTTATATTATACTAAATAGGAAAAATTTAGAGCTTTGCACTACAGGAAGACAAGGATGTCCTCTTCCTTCACTCTACTCTTAGCCAGTGCAGTAAGCTTAAATAAATACATAAATAAACAGAGGAGAGATAGATAGATAGATAGATAGATAGATAGATAGATAGATAGATAGAGCAAGTAAAAAAGGAAAAGTCAGTGTCTCTAAGTGAACAAACCATGGTCCTGTACAAAAGGGAGTCTAAAGACCAACATAAAATTTCTAAAATGTATAAATCACTTTTAGAAAGTATGAGGATATAAAATTCAACTTATAAAAAGAAGAGGTTTTTTCTCTGTGTACAAACAATGAACGTGATGTGAAAGAATCCTATTCACAATGGTTCAAATATTACCTTAGAAAAACCTAAATGAGAAAGTAAAAGATCATTATAATGAAAAATTTAAAACAGCAGAGGTGGAAAGATGTCCCCAGGCTCAAGGATCAGTACAATCAGCACAACAAAATCACTGAAAGAGATCTACAGATTCCATGCAATCCCTACCAAAATTCAAATGGCACTGCCTCAGGAGGCAGAGGCAAGCAAATCTCTGAGTTTAAGGCAGTTTGGTCTACACAGTGAGTTCCAGGATAGCCAGAGTTACACAGAGAAATCCTGTCTCAAACCAAACAAACAAAAACAAAACAAAAAAACGGTATGACATGTAATGTGAATTTTAATTTGTTTTAATAATAAAAACCCAGAGTCAGATATAGGGGTTAATGCTGAAAGATCAGAGAAACATCCAGTTACCAGTTCTTACCTCTACTGAATCCTGAAGACTGAATGGGCTGAGCTCCTGTCTGCTCCCACCTTGTATTACTCTCTCCACCCAGCTCAGCCATATCCCTTCTTGTTTCTACCTCCCTAGTGCTGGGATTAAAGGTATGTGACTCCCAAGTACTTGGGATTAAAGGTGTGAGTCATCACCAATTGACTCTGTTTCACATTTAGACTGAATCAATTTTGTGTAGCCCAAGGACGATAATTTGCCTATGCTCACTTGGTCCTGTTCCTTACTGCCTGTTGCTGCTGGTGTTCATTCTTTACCAACACTTACAGGCTCTATAACTGACTGAGGACCAGTGGCCCAGAGGAACACTCCACATGTGCTTTGTGAGACTGGGACTGCTAAGACACCTAGTCTATGTGACTAAGTGTCCTCCAGTGTGAGACAGTCACCATAGACTACTTATTTGAAGAGGCACCCAGATATGAAAACAGAGTAACTACCTTGTTCTCAATCTCTCAGGAATAAGACAACTGCTGTTACTATTTCAAAGTAAGTTGATTTAGTAAGCTCTTCACATACACAGACAGACACATGCACACAGACACACACAAACACAGACACTCAGACAGGAAGATACATACACTCATACACAAACATACACACGCATACTCAAACACAAACACATAGACACACAGACACACACACACATACATACATACATACATACACACACACACACACACACACACACACACACACACACACACACGAGGTTTTCATCATTCCATTTCAGCAGGAAGTAGTTTTGAGAATACTAGGCCCCCTTTCCCTACTGTTGATATTGCAGGACAGTTTACATCTGTTAGAATTAGTTTTCAATTATTTAGGATTGGGATTAGAGGGAGGTGTTAGACTTGGGCATCGCTTTTAGATAAGTTTAGGGTTTAGATGGGACAGATATATAAGTAGATTATAATTTATTTATCATCATCTATGTATATATGTTGTATACATGTTTGAGTTTTGTATCAAGTCTAAATCTTTTCTTTAGACTGAAAGGAGAATTGTAGGGGAAAAGCCACGTACCTAGAGCATTGACCATGCACAAATGGTACATGTGAGAAACCAGGGATAAAGGGGGGGTAGATAGGGGAGCTCTGTCTCTTGGATTCTGGTCGAGGTTCGGGGACCAGAGCACTGAGCTCAGTTCTCGGCTTCTCATGTAAGTGACCTCTCTCTCTCTCTCTCTCTCTCTCTCTCTCTCTCTCTCTCTCTCTCTCTCTCTCTCTCTCTCTCTCTCTCTAATAAAGTAACTTTTGAGCCTCCTTTCTTGGTATCATCAGCACAGCCTGTTAACTATCTGCATACACACACCACTGTTTTTCCTGGCTCAGTTCCTCTGGAGAACCTAATATAACTTGTCATAGAACTAGAAAAAACCATTGTTAAATTAATATGGACACACAAAAGAAATCTTGGGCAAAGAGATAATTGTTAGCATTATCACAATGTCAGTTTTCACTCCAACCACATGGACAATATTAACAGAACCAGCATGGTACTGGTACAAATAAGATATACAGAACAATAGAATAGAATGGAATAGAACAGAACAGAACAGAACAGAACAGAACAGAACAGAACAGAACAGAACAGAATAGAATAGAATTCATACATAGTTAGGGCCATATAGCTTTAGCAACCTGATTTTGATAAAGATGTCAAAACCATGTAATAGAGAAAAAAAGTCTCTTCAGAAAAGGTTACTGAGAAAACTGGATTATCCACACATATAAGTACAATGCCAAAATGGGCCAAACACTGTTGTGGAGTGTATTAAAAATAAAAGTACCTTGAAATTAAAACAAACAAACAAAAAAGAGTGAAACCGGATTCCTAAACTCTACACAAAATTTAACAGAAGACATCATTGTAATGCCATTAGAGAAGAAGGTTTGGAAAACACATAAAAATATAGACATCAGCAAGAATTTCCTAAAAAGGACTCCTGTAGTCCAGGAAGCAATAGCAAGAACAGAGAAATGGGATTACATGAAATTTAAAAAACAAATCTTTTTCACTACAAAGCAAACAATGAGCTAAACAAAGATACAGCCTATAGGATGGGTCAATATTTGACAGAGGTTTAATATCTAGAATATCAAAATAGCCACTACCCAAATCAAAACAACTCCATTCCTAAGTAAATTGATGAACTAGATGGTTCTCAGGAGGGAATAAGAAAGGGTAATAAACATGAAAAAACATTCAACATCCCTAGCTAGGAAATGAAAACAATAGAGCTTCTATCTTACCTCAGAAATGTTGCCAAGGTATGACAGAAATGAACCTCATATACTTATGGTGGCAATACAAATTTGTCTAGCCAACTGCTGAAACTGTTTTCAATTTAAGAAATTTTTACATCTATAATTTACATTGGCATTCTAAATTAATATTTATCTCTTACTTTACATTTCTCTGAAAGAAGGGCCCCCAAAGCTTACCATCTTTATCAGCAGTTTCTTGAGGCTTTGATTTTAAAGTGAAGATCTTCCGTAGTTTACAGTTAGCAGAGACGATAATTCCATCCAATGACTGGAAAACTGCTCCCTTGAATATCTCACTGGTGAATGCAACCAAGTCAATGCACAGATTGCACCACTAAAAACAAGAGAAGCAGATGAAATTTAGGTCCTTCCACGCCACAGAAGCAGAGAGCCACAGAATGCTTAAAGTTGAGGTGGTTATCTAAGTCCTTCGGCTTGGCTATCTTGTGCTCTTTTTGTTTGACTTAAGTTTCCTTAAAAGTGGTTTTGATTCTTCACAAATCACCATAATCTGAATGTGGTTATGTGACTATTATGCTCCCATCATGAGACAACCATGGCTGCTCTGGGAAATAGCTCTCTTGTCTGTGGGCACTCTGCTAGTGCGCTTAGAACACTTAAAGCTTCAACATCGGAGATAAGTAGCCCATCGTTTATTTCAAGGGGAATAATTTGATTACAATTAGCTACTTTAGTTTTGATCTGAAAAAGGTAGGGATTAAATTAGAAGCTTGGTTAAATGGTACCCAGTACTATCTACTTAACAACCAATTAACCTATTGTACAGAAATAGATTCTTCTAAAGGGTTTGTAATTATGGCTGGGTGTGTGCCAATTTTGAAGTACTATTCCAGGTACTAATTCCAGCCTATTAAACAATTAGATTCCTTAGTACTTCATCAAATGAATTCTATGGTCTGACTGAATAAAGGAAGATGAAAAATAACTATTAGTGAGAAATTAAGACATATCTAAGATTGTAGGATAAAAATAAAAAATATTTTTTGAAATTAGAACAAAAGTAGTATTAAATAAAATTCTATGTGCTTCTCTTAAATATTAGGGTCTTCAATCATTTTTAGAAGCACAGTTTATAAATATGACTTTCTAGGAGGATGTTGATTTTAGTATAGAGCTGAGCTTATGGTGTCTCAGCAGATCAGTTAGAGACTGGAGTGGGTTACCGATTACACAAAAAACATTTTTTTGTAAAGTTACATTACTAGGCCATGAGAGTACTATGGTGACTTGGGGAGTACAGAGCCTGGAGTTAGCAAGGAGTAATGGGATTAAGTATAGCTGGATAGTGATAATCGGTTCGCTTGTGGGGCTTTAAGGAGGGTCTGGGATAGGGCATCAAGCCTGTGAAAACAAGTTCTGAAGGCTTAGGAAGGGAACCTGAGATTCTCTGCAAGGCAAATGTTTCTTAAGTTATGTAAATAACAACGTGCAAGCACAGAGCACTGGAGAGTCAAGTTTGGGTCATCCAAGATGAGGTACTATCTCAGTGACAGAGGTGGGTTGTGTCAGAATAAAGATCACTGAGTCACAGTCTTGTGTCTCAGTTACACAAGTGCGAAGTGAGAAGACTGGTTAGAAGGACGACATGGAGTAAGTGCGAAGTGAGAAGACTGGTTAGAAGGACGACATGGAGTCATTAGAATACAAGGAACAAATCCGACAGATAGGTCCATCAGGTGGCACTTGATGGCCCGGTGAAGTTCCGATCATAGGGAATGGAGGTATGGGCTTCCTTTATCCATTAGTATATTATATAAGCACCACTGGTCTATGGACATAGTTTCTTTACCTAAAAGACTTAACAAGCCCTAGTTCTAGCTAACTAGTTCAAGCCACCAAGAATTCCATCGATTCCTCTCCCACACACTGAGTACACATTAAGTGCGAGGCACTGGCCTCACTTCTGGAGATATAAACATACACAAGATAGTTTTCTACTGTAAGAAGAGAAGCAGACATGTGGCTTCTACTTAACACAGTTACCGGAGAGGGGGCTTAAGATGGGTTATTTTAGAAAAAAATAGCTTAAGAATTGTTGAAGTCACAGTCAAACATGAAAATAAATGCACACTACTGTCCAGGTTGTACCTGATTATCCTGCTAAATCAGTTAACTGATTCTCTTCTTCATATGTCATTTATTTATTTTTGCCAGTTTTAGATACTAATTAACCCCTGGCCCCATGTCAGATGAGACTTCTGGTACACTTACAAATCCTGCTTTTTAAACTTCATCCTCCCTGGATTATCATCTTTTGTTTATTCTCCTTTTCCCTTAGGATTTCATATTCTGAGACTGTATTAACGGGAATGTAAATAATACACCCAATGGAGCTACGTGGTACTTGTGACAACCTTCCCTTCCACCATACACCTTTCTCCCTTTTATATTTGAGTTCATTGTTGCTTGTATAATCTGCCCTTTTGAAAAGAACTGACTCTTAAGTCTCCTACTTCTTGGAAAAGCTTCAAGATGCCACCCACATTTAGTTTTGATTAAGAAGTGTACCATGTACAGAACACAGGTGAACATGTTTGTCAGCTCACCTCAGGGTCCTGTTTCTCTATCCCTACTTACCTGAGCTGTGGGTGAGCTGTACTACGAGCTCTGCTAGGGAATTAGAGCCCACCTCCTTCTAACAGAGTTCCAGGAAAGCTGCCTGTATGCAAGGCAGGCATGATGCTTTTATTTTCTTCTTCTGATTCATTCTTGTTTGCAAAGTCTTCAATAGATAATGGTAGGTATGTATCTAAGTATGAATATATGAAGCTATGCAAACACACTCATGTTTATATACACATCCTTTCATCTTTTTTTAATAATTTAACAAATGTCTGCTAATTGGTATTTTTATATGAATCTACCACCAACAAGGTGGATCCTGAAAAAAGATGGGGAATCCTTTTATAAATCCCCCTTGGCTAGAGAAAATAGAAATATATACACATATATATTGTGGTTTACCAGGTTTTATAAAGGTTATAATTTTTATAAGCTTCAACAAACAACTCATTATTCATATAAATACTATAATGTATGTTACAAAGTTTGGGGAAACAGGATAAAATCTACTACTAATAAGCGGATTATATGAAACATAGTTGATCTTTATAAAATAGGTTTTAATTATTCTTGAATGTATCATCCTTATTAATCCTTATGCATTTGACCTTTTCTTGATCTTTAATAAATCAATTTTTGGTGATATATTGTTTATGATATAATAAAGTCACTGAAGATCAGAGAAGCAAAGCATCCAGTCATTAGTTCTTACCTCTACCAAAGCTGAAATCAAGATCCTGTCTTCCCTGTGTCTGGAAACTGAATCTCACATGAGACCCTTTTCTTCCTTATACACCTCTCTAGTGCTGGGAATCAAGGCATGAGCTCTCTTACTCTTTTAGACTGATTCACTCTTGTGAAGCCCTGTGTGGCCTTGAACTCACAGAGATGCATCTGCCTCTGTCTTCTGAGTCCTGGGATTAAAGGTGTGTGCCACCACTGCCCAGCTTCTATGTCTATGGCTGGCTTTGCGTTCTGATCTTCAGTGGCTTTATTAGATCATAAACAATGTATCACTATACTAGTCCTACATACAACTTTTATGAAGCAGGGGAGAATTACTGACATCAGTGTTTGTAATGTGGGGGTTTAATACACAGGCAATAGAAAGAGTGTCCGTTCACTACATTTTTGAGATTAACATATCTTGAACGTTGAGTGCACACTTGAAAATGATGGTACATGCTGCAGTCATTAGATAAACTTTCAACACCTGTCAAAGAGACCAGGCTGATTGACAGTGCTTCCATAGCCGTCTTCCTGACTTTCCAACAGTTTTAAGGGGAGGGGACTTCGCTACACTGTGTTTATCATTCCCCATTTGGTGCTTTCAGTTTTTCATACATTTTCAAGCTCTCATTATTTAAATGTGTACACATTTAGAGTTGTCATATTATGTCAGTATTTTTTTTCTTTAACAAACACTTCAGAAGAAGGGATAATGATTTTGGGTTAGAGTATAAGAAGCTTCATAGTTGCTGGGTCCATTACAAAGCAGAAGCGCTATGGGGAAGGGTGATGTAGAGGAAAGCAAAGAGGAGACAAGAAGGGGCTCGGGCCAGGTACACCCTTCAATGACAGCTCTCGGTGACTCGCTTCCTTCAGTCAGTGTTCTCCCCTGCTGACATGCAGTGCACAGCTCCACCACCTCCTGATATTACATTCAGATTCTTAGTCTACCACTGTATGAAACAACTGATTAGGCCAGAGTCCCCAAGATCAAACAATTTATGGAAACATCTCAAATACATGCACTTTGTTGATTTCCCAGGTTATTTCTCACAAACGAATGATCACGATTAACCACCTGGCTTGGGGGGGAGGTAAAAAGCACTGGCTATGCAAGGCTAAGGAGGACCTGTGCTCTTTATATATTCCAGGCACTAATTGCCAGAAGAGTAGGTCCTCGAGAGTATCAATACTGCAGCATCAGCAGTATTAATACACTAAAGCCAGTTGGCAGAGACTGGAAACTCTTTCTGACCTAGGCTACATGGAACAAACAGCTGAAGGAGCCAGTGACACAGAGACATGAGAGATTGACGGTGCTTTGTACATGGCCATTAAAGTCATGGTAAGTCTTTTCCTAGCTCAGCAACTCACTACCATCCTTGGGAGCCATTCTCTTTACTTTTCTTTTGTGTAACAGCCCTGGGTGTCCTGGAACTCACTCTGTAAACCAGACTGGCCTTGAACTCACAGAGCTCCACTTGCCTCTGCCTCCCAAGTGCTGGGATTAAAGGCCTGTGCCACCACCACCTGTCTCATTATCTTCCTTAATAAACTTTTTATTTCAGTTCTTGTGTGTCCATAGTACAACTCTTAGACCTGGACTTAAAAACCTGGACATATCAGCAGGGGCTCTCCAAATGCTGAGTCACACCTGTACTAAAATAACAGGCAGGAAAGACTTTGTTCCATTCTGTGGGCTTTCCACACACATTTCCTCTGTGCTGCAAAACCTTTTAATTTCATCCAATCCCATCTGCCAGTTTTTATTACTTTAGCTCCCAGAGTTCTTTTCAGAAAGTCCTTGATCATGCCTATATATGAAGTATCTTCCTATAGCAGATTCATGAACTGAGATCATACATTAAGTTATTCATCCACTCTGAATCAATTTTTATATAGAATGGGCAGCACAGGTCTAGTTTTATTTTTACGTGTAGATGTCAAGTTTTCCTGCCACCATTTGTTGAAGAAACCACCTTTCTTCAATGCATGTTTTTAGCATCTTTCTTGAAAAGCAGA